TTTTTCTTCATAGAACCCAGCTTCTCAGATTATTTGCTCAGCATACAGGTTGAATAAGTATGGTGAAAGAATAAAACCTGTTAATTTCAAACCATTCAGTGTTCCCATGTTCTGTCCCAACAGCTGCCTCTTGGTCCATGTACAGATTCCTCATGAGCACAATTAAGTGTTCCAGAATACTCATACTTTGCAATGTTGTCCATAGTTGTCATGATCCACACAATCGAAAGCCTTTGTTTGTGTAGTCAATAAAGCACAGGTAAACATCTTTCTGATATTCTCTGCTTTCAGCCAAGATCCATCGGACATCAGCAATGATATCCCTCTTTCCACAGTCTCTTCGGAATCTAGCTTGAACGTCTGGAAATTCTCTCTCAATGTATGCTTGCAGCTGTTTCTATATTACCTATAATATACATAAGATAAACTATAAGGAGTTCTGGTAGCGTAGTGGTTACGAATCAGGCTGTGAACCTTAAGGTCAGCAGTTCGAAACTACCAGCTGTTCCATGGGAGAAAAATGAGGCTTTCTGCTCCCATAAAGATTTACAGCCTTGGAAACCCTGTACAGGGTAGCTATGAGTTGGAACCGACTCCACGGCACATAACCACGAACCACATAAGCTATAATGGGCAGGCTGAGAGGGCATCATAGAGAACATGATATGTTTGGAAACGTTCCCCTACCCACCCTTTTCACTGGATTGTTGTTGTTGTGAAGTGCCGTCGAGTCAATTCTGACTCATAGCGACCCTGTATAGTGTTTCTGGGGAGGAACTGTTGAGCTTGAATTGCCAACCTTGCAGTTCAAACAGCTTTGCAGTCTGGAACATTAATTCACAGCGCCACAAGGTTAAAGAGAAGGAGAGAGGAGAAGCAAGGAAGAAGAAAAAAGTGTCAAATATCAAAACAACATGCATATCAAAACAATATCACTAGGGAGATAAGCACACCTTAGAATAATCAACCATTTGAGACCAAAAGGGCAACATTTAGCCAGGACAAAGTTCAGAAGGCTTAGGAAAGAAGGAGGAATCAAAACAGGAAACACAGGGAGGACATGAGATAAGTGAGGGTCCTTTGTGAGGACTGCAGTCCAAACCATGCAATAAAATGGGTAGGAATGGTTGAACGGAAAACCCGGTCTGCTCTGTATAAACCTTCACCTAGTTCACAATAAAAGATCTTCAAAACAAAACAAAATGAAAAAACCCAGCGTGTGTAGAATTTTTCTAAAGCGCCCTGGTAGAACCATGGTTAAGCACTCTGGTGCTAACTCTGTAAAGATTGATACTGGAAGTTTGGGTTCCATGCCCTGAAGTGATTGAATTCAATTAATAACCACTGTAGATAGAGAAAGACAAAAGCCTTTATTCGGATTAAGGACATCGAGTAATGGGGCACCTCACAATAAATGGACTGCTTTAATTGGTCTTCAACTGACTTTCTTACAAACACGTTTTATACTACTTCTTGATAAGGTTAATCATGTGCTGCACGCAGGCCAGGGGAATGTGATAATTCTGATACTCACACTACATCACAAAGTAGTCATGATGCCCCCCCATCTCAAGGAGGGGAAGATT